CTCAATCTCTAGAAAAGTCACATTACATTGGAAGAGCCAGACTTTCTAAGTGCTTCCTAAGTCCCTTCTGCACCAACCAAATGAAAATATGATCTCCTCCTCCCTTGAACCTTACAGTCCTTAGCGACTCTTTTCTCAGGCAGTTATGCAATTCCTGTTGTACTTACTGAGTATCGTCCATGTGCCAAACACCACAGAGGGTAGTGAGGACTCCCTTTTGGCATAGATACTGACATTTAAGATTTATCCCCCTTTACAGAAGAGGCTCAAAAAGGTTAAGTATCTGAGTGAGACTGCCAGCCAATAAGGGGAGGAACAGAGGGCTTCCGATGCCAAGTCTCACTGCGCCTTTTCTACTAAAACACAAGCTGGGACTTGCCACACTGTTCGTATTCCTTCACTTTACCGTCAGCAAGGCATGGGCACAGCACCCTCATGCATCGTGCTGCCCTCTGAAGCACCCAGCAAAGGCCTGTTCTTACTCTGGTTGGTGCTGTGTATTTGTTGCCCGAAAGGACGAGTGCACAGATTTGCAGGCCCATGGGCCTTGCTCATGGTGCTTGTTTGTGGGCCGGGAAGACTGGAGTCCTTATTTCCAAGGAGGACTGTAACTTCACAGAAAGTTCTAAAAACAAATGCTGTACTTGTGAAAGACGCCACCTGGCCTGCCTCAGGGGCTGAGTCCTCTTTTTATGCACCGAGTGGGAGCAGCACAGGGAGTGCGGAGCTCCTTTTCTTCCAACCACTCCCACAGCCCGGCTCACGCCAAGAAAAGGCCTGCACCGTCCGGGGAAGAGAGCAGTGCAGTCCAACTAACCTCTGGTGTCCCTGTTGGGGCTGCCAACAGTCTGGGGAGGACAGTGTGCTTAGTACCAGCTCTGATGACGTAACTTCACAATTCCAGCTTTTCTGCCCAGAACAAAAAGGCAACTGGTTTGGGAACTAGATTCTCCCACCCCTCTAATATTCAACCAAAGTCAGTTTTGCCTAATTGACCACTAGGTTTTGTTTGCATACCTCACTGTTTTTTTAGAAAAATGAATAGCCTTAGCCCAGTGGTCGGCAAACTCATTAGTCAACAGAGCCAAATATCAATAGTACAATGATTGAAATTTCTTTTGAGAGCCAAATTTTTCAAACTTAAACTTCTAATACCACTTCTTCAAAACAGACTCGCCCAGGCTGTGGTATTTTGTGGAAGAGCCACACTCAAGGGGCCAATGGCTCGCGAGCCACAGTTTGCCAACTACGGCCCTAGCCAATTTGGCTCAGTGGATAGAGCATTGGTCTGCGGCCTAAAGGGTCCCAAGTTCAATTCTGGCCAAGGGCACATGCGAGGGCTGTGGGCTCATCCCCAGTAGGGGGCATGCAGGAGGCAGCCGACCAATGATTCTCTATCATCATTGATGTTTCAATCTCTCTCTTCCTCTCACGTCCTCTCTGAAATCAATAAAAAGATTTTTTTAAAAATGAATAGTAACTAATTCAACAGACAGATTTGGGTCCTTTGGAAAATGAATGTCTAGAGCCTGGAACATGTGTATGTCATGAATGTCCCTGTGTGCGAGCAGGAAGTCCTCAAAAGTGTTTACTTTGCAAGCCGTATACAGACCCGGTAGGAGACCAGGAAACAGCATGCGTTAAACACCATGAAGTGTATAGCCATGTGCTCCACCAGACAAGGATCCAGGACCCAGGGAAGCAGACTTCTGAAGTGGAACTGCATTTCAAGGCTTCAAGAAGAATAACGCACTGGGGACTTTCCTGCCCAATGTCTCTGACAGATGTTCCTTCTTGTACAGATTGTCTAATTTGGAAACTTTTGGTACCCATGTCCCTAGAAATCTTTAGGGAACAACAATTTGATCCCTTTGCCTGCAATGTGAAGGCAAAAGTACAATACCTTTTCCTATTTCTGAGACTAATGTGAGCATAATATCCTTGCCCACTGCTTGGGCAAACCAAGACAGAGATTAGCCAGACTAAAATGGGGTATCTCCCAGGCTCAAGATATCTTTCCAGGAGAACTGATGGTGAGAATGCAAATCTTGTCAATTTTTACCTAATATCGGGTCAGGCCATTGGTCTCACTTTGACCTCTGCCTCTCAAATCCACTGCACGGGGCTTAGGACTTCTTAGAAAGTCACAGCAGAAGCCAGAAAGAGAGCAAGCCTCAGCTAGGGCAGGCATCTAGCATCAGCCTTGGGAGGGTCCACATGGGATGCTTTTCCTATGCCTCTTGTAGGAACTCTCCAAGGCTGAGTCTAAATCTCTGTCTTGGTTTGCCCAGGTAGTGGATAGCTAAGAGTTGACAGGATAGTATGAAACACAAAAAATAAGTGAGAGTTTAGCACGGTATCAAAGGCAGTTACCAACCCTCTTCTCTTAGTTCTTAACTTTGCTTATGACCTTTGTCTTACTGAAATGGCATTACTTCTGTTCTATACTCTGACCTCTGCAAGAGGGAACCAAAGATATTAATAACTAGCAAAAATGTAAGCCCTTAGAAAGTCATGCCATAATTTGACCACTTTCCATTTTAACCATTCTCTAAAACCTCATTTGTACTTCTACTTAAGGGTGTAAAAACTTCCGATAGTGTTTTGTTGTTTTTGTTTTGTTTTTGGTATTACAAATACAGTTCTACTGTGTGAATTTTTACTAACCAGGAATAATATAGTAGCTCTCAGGGCAGCATTTTCAAATTTTCTTGTGAGAATTACTTACTGACCTAGAATACTGCCAATCAGGCTACTAAAGGAGCAAAAAGACTTGTTCCTTACCCTTGAGTAGCTTGCAATTTAGTAGAAGATGAAAAAAAAATATATATATATATATCACTAACTGAATCCATGGGGAGCAGATGATAACAGTGATGCAAATTCAGTACTATAAGTGTTCAGGGAAAGGCTGGACTAGTTAATTGTGTTCATGGAAAATCGTTGGTAGAGATGGCATTTAAATAAAGCCTTCGAAAATGTGTAACTTCAAGGGCATTTTGGAGAAGGGCATTTTACGGGGCTGTAATGGCTTTAGCAAAAGGGTGGAAGTAAGAGAGTACAGGGGAAGTAAGAAAACTTCAAGGGAGAGAGCCTGGATGCAGGACAGGCCACAGGAGGGAAAGGAAGAAACCAATCTGGAAAGGTACTCGGTGGCCAGTTCTTAACCTAACATGGATGTGGAGGGGAATGTAGGCAACTAGATTTTAGAAGTAGGAAGTAACTTTTAAAATGTACCCTACATTAGTCATTTTTCACAGCACATCTTAAATTTTTAGAGGGAGAAATATTTTATTATTCCATTTGCACACTAGATGGAATAACTTCAAAGAAAAATACTGTGGGGGCTGGGAAAATTGTTTCTCAGAGCTGGCAGATTCTTGACTGCAGTTTCAGTAACATATTCTTCTTACCAACCCTCTGAGATTGTCCCATTAATGTCTCTCTTTCCGCATCCCCCAAATACCTTCTTAACTCACTATAGACATGCTAAGTGGCTACTCTGCAACTAGTACTTGCTCACTTATTTACCCATCCTCTCTTTTTCTGCTCCACTTGTCCTGGGGCTAACCACTCACTCATTCATTCTTATCCTATGAACTGTATCAATCATAATAACATTAATAGCTACTACTTGCTATAATGCCAGGTCCTGAAATTAATTAATGTTTTATGAACAGTATTTAATATAATTCTCAAAACAGCACTATGAAACAGGTATTATTATCCCTGTTTTACGGATGAGAAAACAACTTCAAAGATGGTAAGTACTTTGCCAACTGGTACGTGCAGAACCAGGTTTAAGCCAGATGTGCTTATTACAGAACCTTACTTGTTACCACTTCACCATACTGCCTCCAACACCATTTGACCTCTTACTGAAATGGCATTACTTCTGATCTATGCTCTTACTGATATGAGTTAGTATTTTAAGTTAAAAATTTAAATATTCATGGAGTGCCTGCTACTATAAACTCCTGTCCTTAGTGTGGTCAGAAGTATGTAAATAAGAGAGCATGTCTATAGATTATTGATGGTCATAATCTTCCTTATTTGAGTATAAACTTCCATATTTGCGTAAGATGGTCTGTCCATGATTCATGAACTAGAGGAACTAAGGTCAGAGGGAGTGAAAATGGCTTCACATATGAATGTTGAATGGTGACCACATATCACAGACAGAAACCGGCCAACCCTGACTGTGCCTTTCAGAGAATTTTAATTATACACTTCAATCACAGTCTGTAAAAACTCTTTGCTGATGAAAAATCTGTCCTGTCAAAAGTTCGCAAGCAAATTTTGTTACAATCTATGTTCAATGAACTTCAGGTTCCTTTGAAGTCAAATAAGCTACTAAAGCATTTTAGCAAACAATAGTACTCTGTGAGGCTAGTCCCTGTAAAATTCATTACTGAGAAGTAAAGTTATTGGGTTAAAATAAATGTGATATCAAACTACTTGTACCATGTAGCCAGAATGTTGTGGAAAATTATATAGAGCTATTTAGACACAGAAAAGTAATTCAAATTTGTCATTTTTAAGCTATCTGCTATTACCATAATACTGCCTTTACTAATTTCTGAATAAGCTTTTGCTTAATATTTTCAGGAGACTAGTTACATTTTTACAAATAACTATAATACATACAAACACATAAGAAACTGGGTGGGATGATCCGCAGACCCCTCTAAGCTGTAACCATGCAGGCCCAGGGAGCATTTGGGAGGAGTCACAAGTTCAGACTCTGTCTGCCTACTCATCTCTCTCTGCCAAGGTACAGTGTTCACATCACAACGTACACAACCAAAACTCAAAGACTGCAGTGGCAAATACTGCATTTACTCTGCAATTAAACTCCTAATCCATTCATTTTAAGAAAAGAAAAGTCAATAAAGAAAAATCCTTTTAAGAGTTCGAGAGTGGCAAAATAATTAGCAAAACACATTTAGTTCACAAGGAGAAGCACCAGCCTACAGAAAATTAATGACACTGAGACTTACTGTTCAATTCGGGGTGACAGGTACAGCTTGGGGTACACCTGAGTAGCTTCGGTATCCTCAAAACTGACAGAAAGGAGAGCCACATCTTCCCCAGGGTCTTCATTTACATCCTTAAATAGAAAGTGAAAAACAGTGTCATCAGCACCTGCTCTCACAACATCATTTTGGTGGTGAGCTCACGGTCCACTGTCGTTTAGGCTATGAGGCTTGAGTTTCCTGGATTTGAATTCAGCAGCTCTGCACATCCTTTGCCACATACCTAGCCACTCCTATAGGGTGGTGGCTTCCAAATTTTCTGACCAAAGCCTATAATGGTGAGAAAAAGACCTTCACCTATCTACTTGTTCCCACATTCCAATAGGGGAAATGGGAATCTGATGATAATAAAGAATTAGACAAAAATATAGTTAACAAAATACAGTACGTAAACATACAAGTATATTGCTGGCAATATGTACAATGGCTCATAATTTGTGTATGGATAATTAGCTTCTAACTTACTTCTTATAGAAAGAATACAAGTTAAAAATAAGATTTACATCATAAAACAACAACGAAACAATTACCCAGTAATTTTATTATACCTACCTTGATAGTATGTTACAAGTTATATAAATAGAAAAAAAATGCCAAGAAACATATCACTTTGAAGTGTGCCATCATATAAGCAAATGGCAGGGGGTTACATAGTAGTACACATATATTTTAGCAAAATGATCATGGATGATTCATATATGAACCTTATGACATACATATCTTTTTTTTCATTAAGGTATTATATGTGTACATATCTTACCATTGCTCCCCTGACATACATATCTTAAGTTTAGTTATAAGAGTATTAAAAGACAAAAACACTGTTGACCCAAGTATGTATTAAGAAACACTGATAGGTTAACCAAATAACTAACAATAAATTAAACTATAATGATAAAGCTAAAACATAATTTACTATTAAAAAGCAAGAATAACAGCAATCAAATATCATAAACAACTCAAACCAACACTAATGATACATTGAAGTGTCCTGAATCAAAACTGTGAGACCTACAACTGTGTGTATGCTTTACAGTTACTGCCAAGCATCAAGTATCTGCCAGACTTCTGAACAGAATACTGAATTAGAATAAATTATTGTAGCATGTGATTCTAATTTGTGAATACCAAACTTAGTAACCCTTAATAATTTATTCTTCATGGGTAGTGGCTCCAAATCAAATATAAATTAAAAAAAAAAAAACTTAATAGAGTGCACATCTTTCACTCACAGTGACTAGTAAGAACTTAATTCATAGTTCCCCAGAGGGCTCAGTAGCCATCCAATGAGGGTCGCAACCTAAACTTTAAGAATCACTGGATGTGAATACTGAGAACCTCAGTGATGATGTCCTTCCTTCTGTCTAAAGCTAACCTCAGTCCTTTTCTGGCATTCTGAGAAGTTGTCATCACACTCATCTTGCTGAGCATTAGCATGGTCAGTCTCCTAGCTCTGCCTTCCACTGTGACAATAGGATGTACAAGTGTGGCATGTTTACAAAGGGACAAGGACCAGAGTGAGCATCTCCTGTCTTAAAAAATAAAAAAATAAAAATCATACTTGTCTCTATATAATTCCTTGGATTTTCTCTCATTTCTCTCCTCCCTTTCAGACTACTTAAAAGAATTGTCTACATCTCCATCTCTCCTCCCATTTATCCCTTAGCCCAGCATATAGACCCTCTGAGCTTCCTAGTTCATCAAGACTGCTCCCACCGAGAGCATACATTGAACACAGCCAATGCTTCTCTATCCTTACTTTACATGCTCTCTAGACAGTATTTGGCATGATGATCTCACTCCTCTGGAAATCCACTCTTTTCTTGCTTCTAACACTTTCCTGGTCTTCACATGTCTCTTCCTCCTCCCTTTTTATTCTTGTTTCTTAACTTCTCAATTGTTTTGTTTTTATTTGTTTTACATTATAAAAGTTAGGCAGTTGGGCTTGTTGTAACAAGTCAAATCATACAGAAGTTTATAAAGAAAAACTTCTTACACCCTCACTTGTCAAGGTAACCAATATTAACAGTGTGTGTGTGTAGCCTCAAATGGCTTTTTCCATGCTCATAAAAGCATATACACATATACCCACACTTGCATATAGATATCTCTTTAACCTTTATGTTTTGTTTTCCCTAATGAAATCATATTATACACACCACTCCACTAATTGCTTTATAAATAGCCACATAATAATACTCCATGACATGGATTTATTTTTCACTAAATCATTCCCCTGGCCACAGACATGCAGGTTGTTTGTAGTTCTTAGCCACTTCATAGTATTATAATAAATACCCAAATATAGCCATTACTAATGGGACTAATATTTCTTAATAAACTTAAACTGAACTTGTTGGGTCAAAGGTTATGAACATTTTACCTTTTAATGAAGTTTAAAAAAATTAGTTTTCTGAAAATTTATAGCAATTCACATTTGGACCCATGAATTTTCATCAGTATGAGAGCCTGTTTCTGCTCATCCTGAATAACTAAATAATAATAGTGCTGTTGTCACTATTAACGTTGGCAATCTGACAGCTGGAAAATGGTGTCTCAATTTAGATTCAAAAAATAAAGCTGAGCAGCTTTTCACTTGGTTTACTGGTCATTTACATTTCTTCTGCAAATTTTCTCATCAAATCCATTACCCATTTTGCTTTCAGGTTCTTAGACTTTTTTAAAATTGCTGTTTATTAGGCTTATTAACCCTTGTCTATTCATGTGTTATACATATTTTCTCTCAGTCTAGATTATATATATATATATATATATATTATTGATTTCAGAGAAGAAGGGAGAGGGAGAGAAAGATAGAAACATCAATGATGAGAGAGGATCATTGATCGGCTGCCTCCTGTACGCCCCACACTGAGGATTGAGCCCCCAAACGGGACATGTGCCCTGACCAGGAATCAAACCGTGACCTCCTGGTTCATAGGTTGATGCTCAACCACTGGGCCATGCCAGCCAGGCACTCTCAGTCTAGCTTTGATGTTTTACTTTGTTTGGGGAATTTTTTGATGTCACAGAAAATTTAGATTTCCATAATGTTAAATCTGGTCAAAATAACTTAGGCTATGTAACTTTTCCCCTAGTTTTTCATCTAACATTGTTATAACTTTATTTTTCATGTACATTTGAATAGCTCTGTAATCTATTTTTAGGTGGTATGATAAGGAAGTGTGTAAAAGGAAGCCTTAGTACAGTACCTGGAACATGGAAACTACTTAATGTTGGCTGAATGAATTAGTGACCAAATTAATGTTAATTCCTAGCCTTTATCTCCACCCCTAGTTATTTGCAGGAGCCTGCTTTACAAAGGCTGCTGTCATCAGTGATGTCTAAAAATGGAGTACTGACTCCTCGCTCCTGCCTCCATAATACACCAAGTTCCTTGGAATCAGTGGTTTTAAAAAAAGCCAAGATTGAGAGTCTGAGTTTGCCTACGGCTTTTTGCTCTTTTACAGATGATAACGTATTCATCCTTGAGTATTCTTTTCTGTAAAATGATGATGGATAATTTAAATTTTTTCTATTTTAAAAATATGGTCTTAACAGCTAGAAACTACATAATTATATGACTCAAACTCATAAAATAGTTAAAACTAAGGTTGAAGCTCAGCTTGAAAAAAATTCACATTTATAGGAACAAATTCATTTTATAATCTAAGTTTAAAGTAGTCCTCTTTAGTGTTGGATTGATCACCTTAAGAAAGACAATAAATAAACAAAAAAAAAGAACTAATACTGATTTTCAGACACCTTCCCCCGATAGCTGAGTTTCCTTGTTAAAGGTTAGGCTCTGACTACAAAACCCTGTTAAATAAAACAAAAAACAAAGAAAACCTCACCACCACCGCATAAACTAGGGAACACTGAAAACTTTTGATTACATATGCCTATGTCTAATCTTTAAAAAATATATATTTTATTGATTTTTTTTTTACAGAGAGAAAGAGAGATAGAGAGTTAGAAACATGGATGAGAGAGAGACATTGGTCAGCTGCCTCTTGCACACCCGCTACTGGGGATGTGCCTGCAACCAAGTTACATGCCCTTGACCGGAATCAAACCCGGGACCCTTCAGTTCGCAGGCTGATGCTCTATCCACTGAGCCAAACCGGTTCCGGTGCCTATGTCTAATTTATTATTATTATTCTTTTACTTGTTTGCTCCTCATTTCACTACTCTTTAAGTAAAAAATAGAAATGCTTAGGGACAGTCCTCCAAAGAAATGGAGTGACCGTGGTTTCTATAGTCAGCATTTACCTTGGCATCCTACAAAGAGTACACGAAACATCAGTCAATATAAAAATAGTTGTTTCCAGGAGTTCCTTTTACAAACTACTCTAACCTGACTCATTCCCCGTGGAGTGGCATAAGAGTTTTCCCCGAATTGGGATGTGATGCCTAATGGCTACCTAAGTTTGACCTTGCGTGCCTAAATAAGCCCAAACAGTTCCAAAAGTACAAATCCACACAGTGCTGTTTCCAATTTCTGCAACTCTAACAGGCTTGCACATGTGTTCCTCCCCATCTGGGAAGTTATAAAAGCAGCTCTTGTACCATGGTTCTTAGAAGCTAACATTACAGATGATTATTTTAACCACTAATGGCAGCATTTGGAAAACAGGAGGAGGTTACAGTGTAGTAGGGGACATTTAAAAATGTACAAGTGTACATTTTCAGGGTTTTCTATCAGCATCATTTGAAATTGCAGCAGGCTAAAATGGAGGGAAAAATGCCGAATCTGCTGAAGCAATATGTGTGTGTGTGTGTGTGTGTGTGTGTGTACACATATGCATATATACACATATACGTGTATATGTACATGTATACATATATACATATGTATACACATACACACACTATATATATATGTATATATATATATATATAGTGTGTGTGTGTGTGTGTGTGTTTGTGTGTGTGTGTGTATGGCCCATTGCACAAAATTTGTGCAGGGGAGTGAGGGATGACATGTTCCTCAGCTCAGCCAGCACCCTCTTGCAATCCAGGACCACTGGCTCCTAACCACTTGCTGCCTGCCTGCCTGATTGCTCCTAGCTCT